AACTTTTTTTGGCGAGGGGGGTGGGTGAGTTGGTGAGGGTAGGGAAGGTTGAGAAGGCATTTAGGAAAATATATTCCCTTCTCTTGATAAGGAAAATAGTTTCCTCCAATTGGAGGAAAATTAGTTCATAAGGAAAATATTTTCCAAAACATTTAAACCAACCAAAGATGGGTATTTTCCGGAAAATATTTTCCTTCATACCAAACGCACCCTTGATCACCTCTTTTAGGGTGTCAAAAAGAAGCGTAACAAAGTTCACGTGGACCATGTGTCACGATCCGGAATCCTAACCTCGGGATCGTGATGACGCCTAATGTGCACTTGCTAGACAAGTCAATATTAGTTCATTAATTTAATAATTTAACAGCTCAAAACAGGATAATAAATTTTTTTAGCGATGATTAAAGCTGAAATACACGAAATAAACCCATAATATAATACGGTCTAACTCAATCCCAGAAATTCGGTGTCACCAGTGCATGAGCAACTAAAAGTCCACAAGAATAGTTTGAAATAAATACAACTGTTCAAATGAAATAAACAATAGACATAGGAAATGGAAGGAGATTTCCACTGCGGACACTGTGCAACTATACCTCAAGTCTCCATATGTCATTGGATCCGAGTATAACACCACTAGACACAACTGTGACCAACACCAGTATCTGCACAAGAAGTGCAAAAGTGTAGCATGAGCACAACCGACCCAATGTACTTTGTAAGTATCGAGCCTAACCTCGACGAGGTAGTGACAAGGCTATGACAAGACACCTATGTAAAATCCTGTATATATATATATATATATATATATAAAGCAACAAAATAACAAGTAGAAATAATAAAATATTAACTGGGAAGGGACATGCGAAAGGAAAAATATCATAAGAATGGCGAATACAAAATCGCCAAATAACATTTTTTCCGAAATAATCAACTGTCGCGCCCCCTTTTTCCTCGCGGAGTTCGGTTTAAACATTCATTGGGAACAACTCATGTCCTTTTAGAATTGGGTATTTGAAGAGTCTCCTCCTAATGGATTAAGGTGCGTTAGGGCTCCTAGAGCAATTAACTCATATAACTAGTTTGCATTACCAGAGATTGGGTAAGGGCTCGAAATAACTTTGAGGGAAAGGTGTTAGGCACCCATCGCGGTCCACAGCGGTGGGTCCCAGCCAAACTCAATTATGTGAATTAGTCATTTAACAGATAGGCAGTCTAAGCACACATATGCAAATAAAGGAAGTTTAACAGATAGGCAGTCTAAGCACACATATACAAATAAAGGAAGTTTAATAGATAAGCAGTCTAAGCACACATATACAAATAAAGGAAGTTTAACAGATAAGCAGTCTAAGATCATTATTACAAACATATAGTGAATGAATTACATAAATAAATATAAACTATCTATCGGGAGCCTGAATTAGGCACAAAGTAAACCTGGGGATGCCAGACCTTCAGAACAGTCTCAAATGCGAAGAATCTCATAGCCAATGGTGTGTCCTGGTGTGTCAAAGTTCCCTAAGGACTTCAGGGATCCCGGCCAGTGCTCACACCAAGACCCTTTCTTAAAATAGAGAACTGGTTATATGCAGTATGGAAGGGCCAGCTCCTGTGTTCTAGAGTGCAGAGGAATCTCATGGATTCCTAGGCAGTACACACAGTAGAGAGGCAGAACTTAATAGTCTAAGAGTAAAGTGAGAGTGCTTGACATAGTTTAGAAAATACTTAGTAATAATAGTGTAGAGATAACTTTCAGGAGTGAAAAGATTTTCAGGAATAGAAACAGTTTTGGAGAAACTACTAAGTGTGGAAAATAGTTTTTGAAATCAATTCTGAGAAGAACAAATGTTCAACATAAATCACATAGACTTGGAATGTCTAGAATCACAACCATTTAACAGGCAGCTTTACAAACAAGGATCTGGGGGCTGGGAACATATAGAGCTCACATCAGGGACACATGATCCGGGTACAAGGGGGAAGCATATGGACGACAAATGCACAGAATAATTAGGAGTCTACAGATTCAGAGGCCTAACATGTTAGCCATGATAATAGGCAATTAAGACATAGAGGTAGAATGTAGGAATAATCATGTTGAAGACAGAGGTGCATTGGACCGGATTAGCCATACAATTAGGGTCAATCAAGTACATTAGGAGACTAAGTTACTAACATAATCACACCAATTAAAAGGAGTAAACAGAGACTAATAAACATGCTGGCCAAGTATCCAACAAGCAAGTGAGACCTAGACATGCTGATTACACGTTTGAACAAGAGAAGACATAATTTAGACATGCTGAATAAAGAAGTAAACAAGAAGACAAATTGAATACATAGCCAATCGAACTAGTGCAGGAGTAGATTGATATATATGGAACACACAGAGTTTGAGTTTCAGAATTGAAATAGGGACATACCAGTTTAAAAAGTGTAGAATGTAAAGCAAGTATAATGCCACTGTCTAGCCTTGACTTTCAACCGGCTAGACCAATAGTTAGCACAAGTAGCAGAGAAAGAAGAGAGAGTTTGAGTGTGTGTGTGTGTATTCTGAACTGAGTGTTCGTGTGTTGAGAGTAAAACAAAAGTGTATATATAGTAGTTTAAAAGTAGAACAAAATAAGGTAAAGGAATCAACATTCAGTTAATTAAGGAAATCATAGGATCACATAATCCAATCACATAAAGGAGTTCAGAATAGACCCCTTAATTAGGGGTAATTGATCAAACGGTAATAACAGGGGTCTAATTAAGGAAAGAATCCCAATCATACCATGTAAAGGAATCAGTAAGAATCCACAATTATACGGGCAATCAATTAAGGCAGGGATGACCAATTAAGGTTATAAACAAGGAAACACACAAGATTTATGCATACGAATCTCGAAAAGAGTAAATCAATCAGCCAAAACTTTCAAAATAACACTGATTTCTGGAAAGAAATACTCAACTTCCATAAACAAAAATTAGGCTAAGTAAAACCTCCCAAAATATAGAAATTAGCTGGAGAAACAGGTTCGAACCCTAATCGACATTAGTTAGGGCAAAACCACAGAATAATGGATTTTACAAAGAAAAAATTTTCAAGTCAAAAATACATAGTAAATTAATACGACTGGTAACACAGAAAGACTCAAAATCGAAGCAAAGGTTAGAAAATAAGAGTATCACACAAAATCAACTAAGGTTTAAGTATTTTTTGCACAAATCAGTCACGAAGACAAAAAATAATTAATCAAACACTTAGGAGTCAGAAAAACCTTTGAAAAGTAACTTGGGATGAACACTAGTTTTGGGAAAAAGTCGGAATAATCAGTTAAAATCAGAAATTCTCAATGAAGAATAGGTAACAGTCCTTGATTCATCTCAAATCTATACAGATCTGAGAAGGATCAAAGGTAATAGACTAGGTTTTTCAGAAAAGGTAATAGAGATGCGAGAATAGGTCAAGAGACAATAGATTTGGAACAAAACAAAAGGAAATTTTTACTCATAGTCGAGAAAATGGCCTAAGACAGGCTAACAAGCAAGGTTTCGAACTAGAACCGATAGGGTTCCTTGAGATCGTCTCAAGGACCTAAGAAGTCAAAGAACCATAGTGCATAGAAGGCCAGGACCGGCCGGAGAAGACATGGAAACATCGCATGATTAAGATATACGCCGGTGACGACATTTAGAACTAGGGTTAGGTCGAGAGAGTTGAGAGAAGAGGGGAGTGATGATGGCGGGTGAGATAAGTGAATGAGAGGTTTGNGAATTGAATGAGGGGTATTAGGTCGGGCATGTGTGTATTTGGGCTAATTTTAAAAGGGGTTTTGGGCTGGTCTTTTGGGTTAAGTCTGAAAACAAAAGGTGCTATTTATTAAATACCCAGATAAATGAGTAAAAATTAATTTATAAAATAAATAACAAATTGTAAAAATAATTTTCATGCATAGAAATAATTATTCGATATTTTAAAAATACAATGGACCATTTTCTGGTAAAATAATGCAATAATGTATGCTTGGGCTATAATTACAAAGTTATTGCAATTATAACCAAAGGTTGTAAATCTGGCCATTTGTGAAATAATTTAAACTTAATATGACTATACATAGTAATATTAA